GATCCAAAATGTTTTTGAAAGTTTTTCTTTATTGATTGTTATCTACTTTGTCTTAGTCCTTGCTTAGGGGTTGGCCTGGTGGCAATAGACTTGAGCCTTGGGGTTTGCTCCCTTTCAAGGTCTCAAGTTCGAAACCCACTGGGTGCAAACAATTTCTGAGGGCCATCGGACTGGGTAAAACCTGAATTAACCGTGGTGTACTTGCGGGAAACTCCTTGCCGATGGCCTGTGCACCCCCGGGATTAGTAGGGGCTCTTAGAGACTCGGACACCCGGTGCAAATCAAAAAAAAAAAAAAAAATAGAAAAGATTATTGAACAATGTACCTTTTGGTTACCTTTGGCAACAGTGCGAGTGCGTAGGCTGTTAGTGTCTCAGATCGTACATACTTAATATGGTAATATTTTATTATTTCGTCATGGATGTCAAACAGATCTATTAAATATTCTATGTTTTCAACAGAAACTGTTTTTTACATCATTCTCTTTTTCTCATAGAAACTTTTCTTCTGCGTCGTCTGCTCCACTTAGCTGTTAGCTGCAATATTTGTCATTTAAATTAATAATTTTATGGCATTCTGAGGTCTCTGTGTAGACCAACTCTTTTTTTCTTTTGATTTCTTAAACAATTTTGAGATGAACTCTCTTGTTAGTTACACTAGTTGTGTATCAGGTGAGTCCTGAGAGCCTTGATTGCCGCCCCAAAATCCTTTATCCTTTTTCAGGCAGAAGCAATCGATTCAACAAATTGGGGCTCTTTTCTTGTTAATCCTCGCAGCTGTCCTATTAAGTGTTGGTGAAGGCTCCAGCAAAGCTTCAAGTAGTAGTAGTAACCCCGATGAGATCTTATTCTATGGAATTGTACCAGTTTTGGTTGCATCTGTGCTCTCTGGTCTGGCTTCTGCCTTGTGTCAATGGGCATCTCAGGCAAGTGAACACTATTAATTTTTGAATTGGTCTTTTGCATTTCCTCCGTTTTGATATGCTTCTTGTCTATTACAGGTTAAGAAACACTCACCTTACCTGATGACTGTTGAGATGTCCATTATTGGGAGTCTTTGTTTGATAAGTAGTACTTCCAAGTCTCCAGATGGAGAAGCTATTCGACAGCACGGATTCTTCTACGGGTGGACTGCCTTAACTTTGGTAAATCAGTTTCGTCAATATACAATTCTTTTTCTATCATGTATGTCATGGGTGCTGGTTAAATTGGTAGTGTAAATACTTAAAACATCCAGAAACAAGAACCGCCTTGAATATTAAGTTTTTTGAGAAAATCTTTTATAGTTTCTATTTGGCGATATCTTATATCAATTTGCCCGGTGTTTCGTTGTTGAGGAATGAAATTGTCCCATGAGTTAGTCATTTATGTAATTTTGTTTATCAAAATCAAATGTCCTGGATTCATTTTCTTTTCCTTTGTTCATTTTGGGAAAGGAATCAGATCTATTTAGGTGAAACTCATGATTTTTATGTGATACTTCAATTTCTTCTGTTCCAGATCCCTGTTGTTTTAAATGCGGTTGGTGGAATTCTTGTGGGTCTTGTCACTTCGTATGCTGGTGGTGTAAGGAAGGTAAGTGCCACTAACTTCTTATGCTTTAGAAGCTGTGCAGAAATTGAATAGGCTTGTAAAAACATTCTTGATATGCTCTGTTATAGTTTGGCATTTTTTGTTCCTTTCCCCTTGATTTATTTGAAGCATTTGTAGCGCTGGTACATTACTATGCCACTTAAAATGGACTCCTAGAATATTTTCTATTTTCTAACTCGTAACATATTCTCTTGATAGTTCTTGGTGGAACGAAACAGTTAATCATATGGTCTATTTTTTTAAAAAAAAAAAAAAAAATTGTCTGGGCTGTAATGAGATGAGGCCATATACCTTTCTCGGCTTTTTAGCTAAGATAAAGTATAATAAGATGAGGGCATATTAATTTTGTGCTTCCCTTAAAGATTATATCGTGCTGTAATTTTTGTAACTGTTCCATTACCATACTTCTCTTGACAACGTTATTTCTTCCTGCTTGTCTTAAATTGCATGCAGGGATTTATCATTGTGTCTGCGCTTCTTGTCACTGCTCTGCTCCAATTTATCTTTGATGGAAAGCCTCCTTCACCATACTGCCTTGTGGCACTTCCATTGGTTATGATTAGCATAAGCATATACCAAAAATATCCATACCGTGTTAAGAAGAAGCAAGTGTGAATCTTGAACATGCCATATTATGAATCAAAGTATATTTGCCTACATTTGGCAAAATGGACAATTGGTTTTACTTATCTAACAGGAAAAGAGAGTTGACACTATTTGAGGAGTTCAACTCTACCTCAGAACCGAGACATTGAGTGAAGTCTGTTGCTTTACTAGTAGATATCTCTGCATCGATGTATATTGATACCTTCAGCATGATTCGGTGTTGGATAGAAGGAATTGGATGAATCTTTGACTGGATACTCCTTCTATATGTGCAAATGGCCTTTCTGAGAAATATAAGTGGTGCTTTTGTTACCAGCTAATTATTTGAAGCCACGAGTTGAGATTTAGTTTGAGCTCGAATTGGGGTGTAAAAAGAAAGATGCCTTTCTGTCATATTGTATTCTCATATTGTTCTTCTTTATGTTTCCTTTTTCTTTTCTGCATAGTATTATATTTGCTGTGTTGGATAAAAGATGACGAGTAAATGAGCTGTGTGGAATTGTTATCACTGCCAACTTCCTTAGTCTCAAACTCCAACACCCCTGCCATCTTATTTATTCTGGAAGCTGAATTTGGTAGGCTCATATGCGTGCTTTCATGCGTGTGATGCCGAAGGAGGAATAGTAGTTTAATCTTGCTAATATTTACATTTTATCTCGTCTGAAATAAAATATAAGTTCTCTTTAGCTGGTGTTAGTTATGTGAACTTTTATATCCTATATCAAATGTTGTATTAACAATAGAGATTTTATACCCAAAACCAAATGTTACAAGGAATAATGCAAAATGTTATGTTGGAATAGTTATCCTTATCTATTACTCCTTCCGTCTCATATTATCTGTCATGATTTTCTTGTACAAGCCCCTTAAGAACAATTAATTAGGATGGAACTTTGACTACTTTACCCTTATCCATATCTTAGTATTTAATCTTTCTTCATTGAATATTTTCTCAATTTATGTGTCATCTCTATTATTATTTATTGTATTTCTGTAAAAGATGATAAAGTATTTAAGAAAACAAGGTTGACTTATTGGTATTTGAACAAAGTTATCCATAATTGAGGTGTTTGTAGTCTTTAAGAATAAATTACTGAGAGTAAAAGGTGTTTTCACAGCCTTTCCACCTTCACAAAGGTAGGGGTAAGGTCTACTTACATACTATTAGACCCTACAATGTGGGATAATATTGTGTATGCTGTTGTTGTTGGTAAAAAGGGAAAAAGAAATTTTGTTTTGAACTTTTAAAATGACAAATAATTTGAGACTGATTATTTTTAATAACATTGATTGATAATATGAGACGGAGGAAGTATGGGATTGACAATAATGGAAACTTGGGGCATGTTGAAAATGGAGAAATGTGGGGCACAACGACACAACGAAAAAATATAGTAATCATTATACAAAAAAATAACTTCTTTCATTATTTTAGCAAATTCATTTGCTTTGCGACTTATCTCAACTCTTACTCTTACTCGTGATGGGGTGTTAAGTATTCTTTCCTTCTTAATGTACTAATTAGAGATCTCAGGATAAAGTTTTGGAAATATATTGTTTTAGAAGCGCTTTACTTTCAAAGTGGACTTATCGCGAGAATTCGGATTAACCGACCGTAAAAATGGGTACTAGATACCGAGTGAAGAAAAATAAAAAGGATTTCTACCACTTGCTTCAACCAACATTTAAACATCATTATCATTTTTGAAGACTAGAAAAATCCATCAAAATGCTATATAGTTTGCTGATCAACTTTTAATAAATAAATTTTTCAAAACTAATTTCCAGAGAAATTACTTATTTTGCAAAAAAGACATATTTCTTTGTACCAACACACATTAAATTGCTGGATCTTTTCCAAATAGGGAATTGGAAGAGGAGAACAGGAATATGAACATGCAATCCAAATATAGCATTTTCGAAGATGATGAGACAAAGAAGATGCACTTAGAAGAGGACAGGTATAGTTTTGGTGCTTTAGCTTCAAAGTTCCCACTTCCCTTAGAGCAATATATACCTGATAGGAGCTCTTTTTGTGTGCTTGTTTGTTGGCGGAGCGTGCCCAACCCATTAACTTTTGCTTAGATACTGTCAGTATATTAGAAAATTCAATAAATATTTAATTGTGAGCCCAATAACTAAAACAAACTATGGGTTTCGTGGCAAATTCACAACTCATAAACTTCAAATCCTGGTTCCGCCTCACCTGTGTATACAAGGGCGTATCCAATGAACAAGTTACGGGTTCTGAACCCATAACTTTCGGCTTAGACCATGTATATGTGTTTAAAAATCCACTAAATTTGTACAAATGGTAGATTTTGAACCCACTAAATTAGATGAAGGTGGTAGAATTACAAACCTGAACCTATAAAGTTCAAATCTTGGATCCGCTCTGTATGGAATATATCAGTGTACTTATGCAAGTGTTCTGGTGTTCTATGCTAGTTATTAAATTGTACACCTATTCCAAGCTGGTACATTAGGGATTAGAGTAGATTCACATCCAGTAAAATAATAGTCTAGACGATACCAGCACTAATGCACTGAATCATATCAGCTATTTGAAGTTCAGCGCCTTTGGATAAGAGTAGTGCTAGGATGATGATTCTGAAGTCCTCACGTAGCATGCATAGCCGACCCCAACTAGTTTCGAATTGAGGTTTAGTTCATTAATTGATTGGATTTATACTGTAAATGTGATGATTGAAAACTATACTTTACAAGAAAAGAGGGAGTCTTAGTACAATATGTTGAAAGTAGAAATGATGGTGCTTTAGTATGTAATGGTAAAACATACTATTGAAAAGACTAATTCACAATCACTATAGATAACCAAGATTACACATTTTTTACAAGCAGGATCGGTTAAGTTGTATCCAATCTCCATCTATGCCAAAATAGCCTTCTGTGTAAATAAAACTCAGTAATTTTATCAGTTCGTTCATCTACCGGATACATTAAAAGAAAAGGGCAGCTCGGCGCACAAAGCATTATGTGTTCACGTAAGGTCCGGGGAAGGGGCGCACCCCTAGGGGTGTGATGTAGGCAGCCTACTCCAAGGGGTGTTCTTACCTACCAGATACATAAGAACTATAATTGTGGGACTTAAGATATGGACTGCCTTCAATTTATGCTGGCTCTGCGACCTGGTTTAACTCTATTCTCGCCTTCTTGAGTTTCTTCCTCAACCATTTTTCTATTGAAAAGAGCAGACTTTTTCATCTTTCTCCAACCAGATGTCCATGAAGTTCTAGGCTTGTTGTTTACTTTTTCATATTCTTGTTGCAGCTCAGAGTAGTCCCTCTGAAGATCTGTCATTTGTATCTTCACTTTATCAAGTTCTTCTTTAAGGTACTTGACCTCCTTCTTGGTAGATAACCAATTACTTTCCTTGTCTGAGTTATTATCATCACTTGCTATAGTATCTTTCCCTTGTACTGCAGCTCTCATCTTCACTTGTTCCGAGAGCAAAACCTGCAATATTCTCTTTAAAATTTAGAATTGTATCAGCATGTCTATTAGGTTTTAGGTGGTACTTAGTATTTATTCTTCTATGTTCATTCAGGAGAGGAGCCTCGGAGCAACGGTCAAGTTCTCTCCGTGTGACCTATAGACCACAGGTTCGAGTTGTGGAATCAGCCACTGATGCTTGTATCAGGGTGGGCTTAGTACAATACTCCCTTGGGATGTGGCCCTACCTGGACCTTGCGTGAATGCGGGATGCTTTGTACACCGGGCTGCCCTTTTTCTTCAATGCTCATTTATAAGCTTAGGTGACGGAACGGAACCTCTTTTTTTCATGGTTTAGAATCCATGCTAGGCTTCTTGAATGCTTTGATTGATCTTTCTGTAGTTTTAGTGTAATTTCAATAACAACCTTTTACTTCAACATGTACACTCCTTGGTTATAGGGAAGTTTGTGGCACAAAAATTAAGATAATAGCAATTTGTGTGATGTATATCAATTTAGTATGACAATATACAAAGGGCATGAGTATTCAGATCGTCATTTGTAAGATGTTTGTGATTTTTGTTTACATTTCTACGATTGGTTTAGCTCTACTATATCCATTGCTTTCTCATCCAATTTTGCGAATTTGAATGAAAGCTAATCTGGCAGCTCGCGTATATATTTTAACCTTTTTAGCATCTTCATATATACTCGACGCTAAGTTGGAAACTGAAGTGTAATCTACCTAAGTTTGACGCCAGCATAATGCTTGCTAAGATTGCAGTACTGGATACATTTTTATAAGATGAAAGTTCAACTACGTTATTCTATACCATAAGTTGATTCAATCAAATGGTTATTTTACCTGGATAACGATTCTCAGAGGCAACCTTTCATTTTGAGCTGCATGCATACATGCATCAAGTGACAATTTTTCGCTGTCCATGATCTTGCATAGTCTTCGGCGATCATGTTCTGATAGTAAAGGATGAGTCTGTAGAAGATATTAAAGCTGCATTGTATTCTTTGATTGTAGAAATCAAGTGCTAGATGTTTTTTATTGCAGAAATTAAAATAACCTTAAGGTATGTATCGATGGCTCTGTAGAGTCCATCATGACACGTCCGAACATGTCGAGGCAGAGATTCAGCTAAGACTTGGAACTTTGTGATAGATACATTGTGATCTCTTGCAATTTCTGCTAGGTAGCTGTCAACCAGTTTACTGATATTCACTGTTGTCGACTTCGTTTCTTGTTGCTGTAGTATTTGCTGTTCATATAGCAAGAAATAATCCAATATCCTTTGCACCACATCTATATTGTGGATAGTCTGTTCTTCAGTTGAACTTTATTAAACAAAATGGTTAAGACTGAGCAGACTGTCATGTTTTTTTTATGGGATAATTACATTTTTGGGCCGCCCTAAAAATAATAGTAGATGGCAAATGTATGTGTTTTGTATATTAAGTATAAATATACATGAAGGGGAGCCTTGGCGTAACTGTTAAAGTTATTGCCATGTGACCAGCAGGTCACGGGTTCGAGCCATGAAAACAGTCTCTTGCAGAAATGCAGGGCAAGGTTGCGTACAATAGCCCCTTGTGATCCGACTCGGACCCCGCGCATAGCGGGAACTTAGTGCACCGGGCTTGCAAATACACATATAATATACTTATAATATATGTATATATTGTATACATAATCAGTGTATATGTTTTGTATATTGGGCTAACGCCTGTAACTAATTTCGGCCGATGGGACAAAAGTGAAAAAAGCCCCCCTTTTTTTTTTTCTTTTCTAAGTGCTTGCATTTAGATGGAAATTGAAAGCTGAAACTTCAGAGGTGATAGAAACTCACTTGATTGTTTGTTCACTTACTGCATAAGTAGGGATCAAGAGGTCATCCGGACTGGCGTTTTCGAGCACCATGCCGATTCTTTTCTCGAGCTCTGAAATTAGAGCTGGTGATGCAGCGTACAGCATCGCCATCTTTAACAGCCGTAGAAGAAACTTGCAAGAAACAGCTTCCTTTTGAGGAGGTAGTATACTAATCAAGCTCTCTATTATTGTTCTTTGTTCCTTATTATTCTGTCCAATGCTTGTTTCTTGCATTCTCCCACTTGTGATACTCCATTGCGAGTCGTTTCTTCTACTACCATATTTATCCGTTCCTTTCGTTTCACTATTCATGTTTGGCAACCACTTCTCCCCATAATGCATGATACATGAACCCATGATTTCAGGTTTGATTCCTTTTACTCTTATTGCTGTAATAATTCTCAAGAAGAAGTTAATACAAAGAGTGGCAACATCGTCGAACCACCAGGTTTCTTCGTTCGTTATTTCCTCTGTTGAATTTTTTCTGAAGATTTTCCAACCAATTGAATCACAACATCTTCTCACAATCTGTAGGTTTTCTGCCCACGGAGATAGTGTTTCGCATGATTTAAGGACAGTGATGGAATCGTTCCACGACGAAAGGACTACAAATGTGAAGAAAGCTTCTGTTTTTGAAATCAGGTTTCCCTCTTCCATTGCTTCTGTCATTTCTAGGAATTCTGATCCACATCTTAATGCTGCTACATTTCCAGGGTTCAAGCTTATTGGTAGGCCGTAACAGAACTTTAGAATGATCTCGAAGTTTTCTGATCCGCCTGGAAATTTTTCGAGCTTGAGGTCATAACCTAAGTGTGAATTTTGAGGCTGAAATTCGATTTCTCTTAGGTAAGCACACCTTGCAACCAGCGGATACTGTGAGTAAATAAACTTGAATTAACCTCTCATTAATTGATTTATGTTTAATGAAGCTATGTAATACTCCCTCCCTCCCAATTTATGTGAAGATGTTTGACACTTATGGTTTAAATATAGAAAGATTTTTTTTTTTCTTTGGGACTAACTTAAAAGGAAAGAGTGTCGTATAAATTGGAATGAAAGGAGTGTTTGGTATGATGATACTGTAGAACCCTAAATTTGACCATGGAGCAGTGTTCCCAAAAGCGCAAAAAAGCAATAAGGCAACAAGAAGCAAAACATGCCGAAAGTACAAAAACTATGTAGCATATTTGAATTTAGTACGTATAACATAAAATTGCAATTAAATCTCCTAATTTCAACATCTAATTATACAATAATGACAATATTAATAACGTTAGACACAATTGTTTTTTCAATTTTCAACTAAATATAGAAAGAATTAATTTATTTACAATATTAAGTTTCATCTTCCAGTGTGAGGCTAGACTGATAGGATTTTGTCTTAGACTGCTAGTGGTCAGTGCTGTGTTTACACTACTCATCCGTTTTCATAGTGCCGGGTATTATTTACTGGCCATTTTTTCTGCCTTTCATCTATTCACTGGTTCTTGTGTTGTTATTATTTCCATGCTGGTACTAATATATTTTCTCTTTTTGTCTTTTCGTCTTCTTGAGTCGAGGGTCTATCGGAAACAGCCTATCTACCCCATCGGGGTAGAGGTAAGGTCTGCGTACACACTACCCTCCCCAAACCCCACTTGTGGGACTATACTGGGTCGTTGTTGTTGTAATATTAAGTTTCACAGTTAATTGCTTTAGTAACTATGCTAAGAGAGTATAAGAAAGAAGCAAAAAAGAGGTAGATAATTAGAAATAGAGAGGAGGAGGATTTCAATAGCAGAAGAAAACTGAGTGATTGTTTGAATAATTCTTGTATTAATTAGTTTGTGTAAAATGCCCTACATAGTAGAGAAAAGTAGTAAAGAAGAGGCTTTACTATTCTGTATTTTCTTGCATAGAACTTTAGATAAATAATTCTTGCATTAGTTTGTGCAGAATGTCCTTTACTTACCTTGTGAACATAGAAGGTGATGTCGTCAACTCGAATTGATAAATCACTTGGAAGCTGAGAAGTAGCAAACCTGCATATAACAACAGCTCACATATAGTTGTAAGTATTTAAGGTATAAATGAGGAAACATTGGAATCAAATCTGCAATTGCTTATGATATTAGAGTTGTATTACCATGACTGTTCTTTCTTCTCAAATCCATCAGCTATTTGATTGAGGATAGTCGGGACAACTATACGTTGATCATGAAGTTGGCGAGTGTCATCAGTTTCATCTCCAGTGTTCTCCAGCTGATCAAGTTGAATCAATTTCTGCATTTTCATGAGTTTCCTTTTACTGCATACTAAGTCATACAAGGAAGTCTATGATTATAAGAAGGAATATGAGGATTCTAGGAGGCAGAAGTGGAGGCAGGGCGCATTTTGTGAGTCAACTGAACCTATTGCTTTCTGCTCGAACTATATATAAATATGCAAAAAAAAAAAAAAAAAATGTATACACGTACTAAGATAAAGGGACCCTTGGATATGAAAGGGGTCGCTAGCACCCCTAAAGTTCGACAAATTTTTTATGTATGCATGTATATGTCTTTAGAAAATAGTGATATATTAGTGTGTGTACCCTATATACAAAGCAAAATTTGGTTAAATCCAAAAGTGCACCCCAACCTTCAAATCCTAGGTCTGCCTCTGCGTGGAACAATAGCAAAGTTGTCTCCGTGTGACCTATAGTCACAAGTTCGAGCCGTGGAATTAGCCACTGGCGCTTGCATCAGGGTAGGCTACCCACATCACATCCCTCGAGATGAGGCCCTTCCCCGGACCCTATGTGAACAGAGGATATATTTGTGTACCGAACTGCTCTTTTTTTGTACATTTAATAAGATCGCACTCATTCTGAACCTATTAATATAGATAGCGGATAAACTTTTGCAAGGAAGGACAGTTTGGAGTAAATGTGTGAATGGAGTTTGTGGCTAGAAGCAGAATTACAATGAAGAAGTTTGGTGGGTGGCTTCTTAAATTCCACTAATGTATAGGGTCAGAGAATTGCTGGTTCTTTAGTTAGAGACAATTCAGTAATATTCTTGAGGACCAGAAGGAATATTGTCTTGTGACAAGTCTAATTCAAAATAATACCACGTAAATATTGATTTGACCAAGTGATCATTTTGTGGCTATATCGAAACATAAATTGTTTTTGAACAATAATTGTAGAAAGACAGGTATGTTTACCTTCTCATTTTATGTCAGGGCCAGGCAAATGCATGCCCGAGTGTGACCCAGCGATCAATGAAATGAGAAGAAAATCATGGGTGATCAATATTTAAATTTCAGTAGAGACAAATGTACTGTCTACGCGTTGATGGACAGAATTATTTGATATCTATGCTAGTAGGTAGATGTACTTGGTAAAATAATCAAGGCGCTCACAAACTAGTCCGGAAACTGCGGTTATAGAAAAGGGATCTTTGCCGGCCATATTCAATGTTTACTTTTTCTAGCCATATACATTGATTATACACAACTATACACATATAAAACATAAGATAGACCTTTATTATACCTCTACCGACTATTTTAAGTTTAAGTGATTGGATGAGCGGTTATTTGGGTTAATTCTTCTATAAAATGCATGTGTTTCTCTGTATTGGCCCAAAAGGTAAAGTCCAATATTGGGCGATTTGCAGCCATACCCTATATTTATGCCACCTTTTAACCCGTACCCTATTTTTAAAAACTACTAATTTCGTAGCCGACTAACAAAAAATTCGTAATAATATGACTATTATACCCCTTCCAAAACAAAAATCCCTTTTTTCATATGCTGTGGATAGCCAGATATATTCCATGGAAACAAAAGTTTTGTCCAGCGGAATCCGCCACTCTACTATCCCTCAAAGTTATATTCGCCCTCAATCCGATAGGCCACTCCTTTCTGAAGTCGCTGATTGTGAAAATGTTCCAGTAATTGACATGGGTTGTGGAGATAGAAACCTTTTAGTTCATCAATTTGGTATTTAAGAAGTATACCAAATTGGAGGAATCTGACCAAGAGGATTACATAAGTTAGTGAGCACCTGTATTTCCATCTAATACTTTCAACGTTCGAATTATATGGAAAGTCAGTTAAAACTTCAACTCTAAGAAGGTTGAAGTTCGCTAGTTACAAACAAAAACTTCAGTTCTAGAGCTGAAGTTTGCCAGTTACAAACAAAAACTTCAGCTCTAGAGCTGAAGTTCGACAATTACAAAACAAAAACTTCAGCTCTAGAGCTGAAGTTCGCCAGTTACAAAACAAAGAGTTGAAGTTCACCAGTTACAAAAACAAAAACTTCAGCTCCTAAAGCTGAAGTTCCCCAGTTACAAAACAGAGCTGAAGTTCGCTAGTTACAAACAAAAACTTCAGCTCTAGAGCTGAAGTTCGACAGTTACAAAACAAAAACTTCAGCTCTACATCTGAAGTTCACCAGTTACAAAAACAAAAACTTCAGTTACAAAACAAAAATTTCAGCTCTAGAGCTAAAGTTCACCAGTTACAAAAACAAAAACTTCAGCTCTAGAGCTGAAGTTCGCCAGTTACAAAACAAAAACTTAGCTCTAGAGCTGAAGTTCACCAGTTACAAAAACAAAAATTTTAGCTCCTAAAGTTGAAGTTCACCAGTTACAAAATAAAAACTTCAACTCTAGAGCTGAAGTTCGCCAGTTACAAAACAAAAACTTCAGCTCTAGAGCTGAAGTTCACCAGTTACAAAAACAAAAACTTCAGCTCCTAAAGCTGAAGTTCACCAGTTACAAAACGGCTCGCAGTATTGTAGGCATATAAATTTTATTTAAATTAAATTCATAAAATAATTTGGACTATATTTTAATTCAAGATATATTGGTCCAAATAAATATTATGGGCTAATATATAAATGAATTAATTATATAGGTCCAATATATATGGATTAAATAAATAAGTCTTAATCCATTGGGCTAGCCCATTTAATTGGGCTAAAGTGATGAGCCCACTTCATTAAGCCCAAGATGTCATCTTTCTAGAGGCCCAGTTTGGTGCCACGTGTCAAATGACGTGGCGCGCCAAGTCAAACGGAAAAGCCAATAGGATTGTGCCATGTGTCAAAATGACAAGGCATGCCAAGTCACACTAAAAGGCCAATGAAATCGCGCCACGTGTGCAAATGACATGTTCTGGCCAATCAAATACGGCCATGTCATCCTTTAATTTGATTGGTCGAAAAGAGTTTGTTCTTATCACAACTCTTCCCTTCCACAACTATAAATAGGGGTCTTCATAACCAAGAAAAGGCACCAGAAGTTATAACAAGAAGCAAGAAAGAGCTCGTGGATCAAACACTGCAAATTCCTCCACAAGTTTCAAGCTTCAAGCAATCAAGTTCAAGTTCAAGCAATCAAAGTTCACGTTCAAGAAATCAAGTTCAAGTTCAAGAACAAAGAAGAAATCAAGTATTCAAGCTCAAGAACGAAGAACGATTCAAGTATTCAAGATCAAGAACGAAGTCAAATCAAATACAAGGCTTCAAGATCAAGGCTACTTGTTCGTGATAAAATTCGTGGCAACAATTAAAGTGTTCGCGACGGATAAATCAAATACAAATTCAAGATCAAGCTCAAAGGCCTTTGAATTTATACTAGAAAAGTAGAATCAGAGAAATCATAGAGATTGTACACTCAAATATTCAAATTCAAATACTACGATTGTTGCGATATTTTCGGTCTTGATTTTATTTCTCATCCGCAAATTTATTGTCTACAAATTCTGGCACGCCCAGTGGGACAATCTCTACCTCTCATCTCAACTTTTCAATCACCAAAGTTCAAGAACATTGAAATTGCTTCAAAGAAAATCAACTCCATTTCAACTTCCACCAAAGCTGCTAACTCCAGGTTCTATGCTGATGTGGAAAGCATCCTCGACGTTACCTTTGGAAGCTTCGGACCAGTTACGAGGAGCAAAGCAAGCTCTTTAGGACAACAAGCACCCCAAGTGCCGTCCGCGTCAACCTCTGTTTTCGGATCTTCATCCTCAAAAGGAGCAAGATCTTCCACAAACGCATCTGAAGGAGGAAGCGATGTTGCTGAAAAGATCAAGAAAACTCTTGCTCTGCTTGACCTCTCCGGATCCAAGCACTCTGCTATGAAGGAAGATGATGATGCTTCAAGTGATGGATCCTCCCCACTTACACCACATAGCGTGAGCCAATCAAGGATCAATCTGTGTGAAAATCCATGCTACTCTCCGTCATCCACGACAATCATGCAAGCCATGGTGACAAACACTTCATCCATGGAGGAGCAGTTGGCAAACTTGACGGAAGCAATCGCTGGCTTGACCAAATGCATGCAAAATCAAGAGGCTAGAATTGACAAGCTAACAGACAGGGTGGGAATCTTGATGGAAGAAGAATCCACCCATGCACCCGGCAAGCTCCCAGAGGTTCTAGAGAGTGACTCTCCCCCAAGACAAGCAGCATCCACTAAGGCTATCCCTGTCTCATCTGAAGGGATGATTCCAATCGATCAACTGAAGGAGTTCATCGAAGGAACCATTAAGAACAAATATGAAGTTGCTGCCAAATCCTCCCTTACATATGCAAAGCCGTACACTGCAAGGGTCGATATGTTGAAGATGCCTGCTGGCTATCAACCTCCGAAGTTTCAACAGTTTGATGGTAAAGGTAACCCAAAGCAACATGTTGCGCACTTCGTGGAGACGTGCAACAATGCTGGGACTTATGGAGATTACCTCATCAAGCAGTTTGTCCGCTCGCTAAAAGGAAATGCTTTTGACTGGTACACGGACCTCGAGGCTGGATCTATCGATAGCTGGGATCAACTAGAGCAAGAGTTCCTCAATCGCTTTTATAGTACGAGACGTACTGTGAGTATGATAGAACTTACAAATACTCGTCAACGAAAGGGGGAACCAGTTATCGACTTTATCAATCGTTGGAGGAATGCAAGCCTCAACTGCAAAGACAGGCTTAGTGAAGCTTCAGGCATAGAGATGTGCATCCAAGGCATGCATTGGGGATTGCGCTACATCTTGCAAGGTATCAAGCCTAGCACATTTGAAGAACTTGCAACTCGTGCCCATGACATGGAATTGAGCATGGCCTCCGCTGGAAATGAAAGGCTGCCCATCTATGAACCTCGCAAAGCGAATGACAAGCAAGAAGTCAGGAAGTGGGGCAAGTTCGTACCCAAGTCTGAAAGCAAAGAGGCTATGAATGTCAATACGTCACTTGTGAAGTTCACGACGAAGGAGAGCAAGAAGCAGAGTATGAAATCTACGTCGTTTCAAGATAAGCCAAGTGGGAAGCTGACTCTAAAAGAAATGCAAGAGAAAGAGTGCCCGTTCCTGGATTCTGATGTGCCACCCATTTTCGAAGAACTCCTCGAGTTAAATCTCATCGAGCTTCCGGAGATGAAGCGACCAAATGAAGCTGGGAAAACAAATGATCCAAATTACTGCAAATACCATCGACTTGTGAGCCACCCTCTGGAAAAGTGCTTTGTCTTCAAGGACAAAGTCATGGACTTGGCTCGCGAAAAGAAGATCATGCTTGAAGATGAGAAAGCAAGCGTGAACCAAGTCTCTATCACCTTTGGCTCATTCAATCTAGATGAGTTATGCAGTTTAAAAGGAATCAAAAATGAAGAATTGCTGGAGAACAACAAAGTCGAAGACGATCAACCTGATGATGATGAAGGTTGGACGTTGGTGACTCGTCGTAGGCGCCACAAAAGGAGCCCACGAAAAGAATCAGTGGAACAACCAACAAGGAAGATGATGGTAAAAAGACCCATAAAAAGGAATCCAGTTAGGCATTTGAAGAAAGCAAAAGTGGAGATGCACCACCCTCAAAAGCCACGAAATCCAGTGACCTTGGAGGAGTTTTTACCAAGTTGGTTCCGCACGAAGATTTCCAATGAG